CACACACACACACACACACTCCCTCTCTCCCTCTGCCGATTCCAACTTGGTTCCCTTTCGGAGCTGTACCAGCCCTTCATGCCCAGCAGAGGGCACTCCTGGGCTCCCACTGGAGGGTCTCTCCCAGAAGTTCCCTCTGAAGCTCCCATCATCGCATGTGGATTCTCTGGGGACTTTGTCCCAGCCCCTTTTTCCCAGTGACAGCCCTCACCGGAAGGAGAGAGAACCTTGGGGGCTGGCACAGACTATGGACATTGGGGCTGGGACTGTCCCTGCCTCCTGCACCATCCGCGCTTCGGCTGTGCATCCCTGTGTGTCTGTGTGCAGTGGTGTCCCAGGTCTGCGGGCTCCTTTGTGACCACCTGAATGGCTCCATCCATTGTTTGTGTCGTGTACGTCTATGCAAATGTAATTACATGTGTATCAGAGCCGCCTCCATCCAGCATCTGAATGTCTGTGGGTTTGGGGGAATAAAACCTGCTTGGACCTGAGTGTCTCTATGGAAGGAGGGAGTGCACCCACATTTAAGACCCTTCTCAGAGAGCCAGCCACTCCAGCAGATGGAAAAACTGGCCTGTGCCCGGTACCAGGAAGAAACCAGATGGCACATCAATGAACACGAGGCCGAGGCCTCCTGGAAACATTTCCTGCTGCTTCTCCTGTCTCAGCCCTGTGTTGAGTTTTCATGAGGATCCACGAAACTCGGAGGGAGGCCGTGATACCCAATTGGTCTTCGATATAAGAGGAGCAGAGAACGGGTCCCACCCGGGCTGGGAAACCCTTACAGAAACCTCAGTCCTTCCCAGGAAGGGCCGGCTCTCTGTTGGGCCTTGTCCCAGCAAGGCCTGGCTGACGGTGGCTCTCCTACTGTCCCGTGTGTGTGGTCTGGTGTCGGTGCCCTATAGACTAGCTCCACGTGGTGCTGCTTCATGTGAAACCCATCCCTAGTGCATGCCAGCTTCCTGCTTGGGGGAAAGACGGGAGTGGACCGGGCACCTGAACCCCTGTCCAGGCCGCTGTCCACCACCGGGCGGCCACCCTGGGGCCCCACCCCGTCCTCCCCTTCCTGGGTGTGCACGCACACACATGGACACACACGGACTGGAGCGCCATTTCCTGCATCCCCGTTTTCCTCAAGCACATCCTTGTGTACCAATTGCCACCTTCACCTCTTACCTTTCCACATGAGAGCATGTCCTGGTAAACGCCAGTCCGTGCATACAGGTAAGTGTGTCAATGTGTGTGAGGCCAAGCAGAAACAAGGCATTACAGACACAGGCCACACTCCTGGCATAGAGGTCAGGACATTGGGTTCTAGTCCTGAATGCTGCAGAAACCTTCCCGCACGATTTTAGACAAGTCACCTGATCCTCCTGGGTCTCTTTGTCCTTATAAAGCCCCCTCTGAGGGATTACAGCAAGTCCAGAACATTCCTGAATGTCAACAATGTGCCTGGATAAAGGGAGGGATGGGGGAAAGGTGGGTTTCCCTACTTCCCTGTCTCCTCCATAGCTCCACGGAACCTGATTCGTGTTTGTCAGGTGCCAGTGGGGGTGAGGCTGGAGGTGGAAAGAACGAGGCAGAGGGTTGGGGTGTTTGCCTTTGTCTCTGTTTGGGGAAGAGAGGCAGGATTGGACCTCGGCTCCTGTCAAGGGCAGTGCTCTGAAGGCGGCCCCAGGTACCAGAACGGGGGGCCTGGCGCAGGCTGAGCCATTCCCCTTCCTCTCAGTATCTGGGGTGCCCTCACCCCAACCCCCTCTGCCTTAAGTGTCTCCCTTCATCCTGGGTGTGGCTCTGGGAAGGGCTGGGGTGTCCTCCTAAGGTTCTTCCAGGCTCGGGGTGCCTCCGAATCCTCAGTGTGACGTTTGTGGTGAGATGTTGACTGAGACATGGAGGTTGATTTCACGGAGCAGTAATGATATTGCCAAGGATCCGAGTCACTCCAAGCCTCAGGGCCCCCAGCCAACAGCCCTGGGAGGTCTTCTGTGCACTGTAGTGGGAAGTGGGGCCTGAGCTAGCAACTCTCCAGAGTGGCTGCTGTGACAACACAAGTGACATCCCTGAGAGGGAGTGCTGCCCCCAGGGCCAGTGATAACAAAGAGTCTGTCTTCAGGGTTCATGGTTTGGGACAGTCATGCCCTGTCTGCCTCCCAGGCCTCAAGGCTAGATCCAGTCAGCCCGTGGTTCAGGAGGCCTCTCGGGTGTGAGACTATTCCCGAAAGCAGCTGCCTGGGTGCCGTTCATTATCAGGCTCTTTCGTCCGTCTGGTTGTCAGGGAAAAAAACTCTTACCCAGGTGCTCAGAGGCAGCACTCTTCCTATGACCTTCCAGGCCTGCCTGCAGCTGGCTTCTGGGAGAGAGGGTTGGACTTCTCATTAGAGATCAGCATGGGAGTGAGACTTCTAGGCCCCTTGTCTCTCTCTTCCATAGTCCTAGAGGTCCCTGTGGCTTCAGGGCAGTAACCAGCACTGGAGAATGTGAGGGACAGTGCTCCGGGGGCTTGGCGGGCACTGGGTTGCAGCCAGGACACCTTTCAGCCAGTGCCTGGCTGGCTCCAGCTGCCTTCACCCCCTTGGCAACCTGTCCCCAGCAGTGGCCTCCCTGGCAGGCAGTCTGGAGCTTTAATCAGCAGCCAGAGACCGGGCTCTGACGTCCTTGGATGGAAGGGATGTGGGTGTGGAGGCAGCAGCTGGGTTTCTTCTTGCCCGAGCAAGTTCTCCCAACCCTTTCCCCCTCCCCCTGAGAGGCGAACTGAGCTGCTGTTTCAAGCATTTTGCAGTGAATGCAAATCGTGTGTTTGCTCACAGTGAGCAGATCCGGCCTAGAAAGAACTTCAGTTTTCCCCTAAACTTGGGCGTATCCTTGTCTCCCCAGGATGCCTGAGTCAGCGTGGCAGGGGTGTGCCTGCCTGCATCCTGGCCCAGAGCCCTGGTACTCCAGGCTCCCCAGAGAAACTTGCTCTGGGCTCTTTCTGGACATTGGTCCACCTCTGGGCGTGTCCAGCTGTCTCTACTGTGGTCAGACATGATCTTTCTGGCCTCGCTGCTCTAGAGGCCCCCTCTCAAATTCTTGCTTCCAAGCTCTGTTTCAGAGCGTCCCAGGAACTGATGGGCTCAGGATGGACTGTTAACACGGAGGTATCTCAGAAATGGGGTTTGAAGCTGCCCATTCGACCGGTGGGTGGCGCATCATCTGGGTGGGGGAGTCAGTGTCTTCTAACTCCCTTGAGTCTCTAATGCTGATCAAGCAAGCCATCAGCTCCTGCAGGGCAGGGACCGGAGGAGCCCACACCAGTGGTGGGAATGGTGAAGACAGCTCCCCAGGAAGCCTCGTTCCCTCGCCCATGATGCCGGTGGACCAGGTCTCC